ATATATTTTATTTATTTATTTATTTGAGTTCTATCCCACCCATCTACACAAAACTCTGGGTGGTTTACAAATTTAAAAAACAAAAAACCAATATTATAACTCCATTATGGCAAAAGTGTAAGAAATTAAGATACAGCGGGAGGGAAAGCCTGCCTAAATAGCCTGGTCTTAAGTTTGTTCCAAAAACACCCAGAGAGGGAGCCAGTCGGATCTCCACTGGCAAGTTGTTCCAAAAGCGAGGGGCCACTGCCGAGAAGGCCCGGTTCCTCGTTCTTTCCTTCCGGACCTCCCTCGGCGTTAGGCACCTCAGCCGTCCAGCCCATCTGGAACGAGTGACTCTGGCAGAATTTAATGCATGACCTTATCTTCAAAAGCTCTGTGCACCCTATTTAGCAACCTTCATTAGGTATGTCATCTATTCTTCTCACACTCTACTATGAGTAATACAATCTAAATGTGCAATATATAGTTTTATTTTAGTTTAGCAACAGAGGAAAAGAGTAACACTTTCCTTAAATGCATCTTTACATGATTGGGCTCTCCCATCACACTTCTCCTTATTAATGTTTACCATGTTCTATTATTATCATCAGGAGACTTTAACAAATTGACATACTTTTTAATAAGCCCTTGGAGTTTGATAATATAAACAGGCTTTCATAATCTGAGTTCCCAATAGTCTCTTAGGCACTGGGAAAAATGGATCATTTGTAAGTGTCAGAAAAGAGTTAGCCTCTGCCCATTATTTATGTATACAGTTTATTATCTCCTAACCCAGTCTGTTTCAGAGAGTGCCACCAGAAGCAAATCAGCCAGGATACCATTCCATAGGAGCCATAGTGGCTAAGCAGCCAGGATGCCATTCCATAGGAGCCATAGTGGCTAAGCAGCCATAGTGACAACTTGATCCCATCAAATATCTTAAGCTGCAACACATGTCAGCCTCGTACAACATGTTCAACAGTCAGGGATGATGAGAGTGGTAATCCAGGCCATCGTCCAGGTTGGAGATGAGAGATACTACATGCCCTGTGTTGTGATCCCCAGCAGCTTGAGTTAAAATAATTCCAATGCAAAGTCCAGAAAGATTCTGCCTGGGTTTGATTCCTGAGATGCTGAAGAGCTATCCACTATCACAACAGGCAATACTTGGCTAGACAGATCCATAACTTGGCAAAGAAAAAGGTGACGGCTTAGATGCTAATGATCACACTGAAACCACTGGTGCCACACTGGTCTTTTCCAACTTCTCTGAGAAATCAGAACAATGTATTTCCTTTGGAACAAAGATAAGGCTGCCATGCAGGTGATTTTGTAGATCTGTGAGAGATCTTGGAGAAACAACCAAAATGCATTCAGGATTGGGATGCTTCAGGTGAGTGCATTTGAATTCTCACCAGTTATATGCACACTGATAATGATCACCACATTAAAGCAGGTCAGAAACGATGTGCAAAGTCCCAGTTATGCACATGTACTATATGCTTAAAAGATGTACAGGAACCTGAAAAGCAGATTCCTCCCTTTAAAACCGCTTTCTCCATCTTCACCAATATTTTGCAGCAATGGTTATGCCATCATAAATTTTATTTATTTATTTATTTAATTTTTGGACTGCTTAATTTAATATAATCTTCAAATAACACGAAGACCTGGATTGCAAATATGGAAAATTCAGATACTTTTTCAGGCCTTTGAATAACCAGAGACTGAACAATGTGAGGTTCCGGCTCTTTCACTGAACCCAATCTATTATTCTGGGTGGGGGGGACATCTGTACAGAAATCAACTGGCTGAATAATAATTTATTCATCTCAGTGTGTGCTACTTTAGAATTTAGAATCTCTGAATTCTGTAGTGCACAATATGTTGCTTGTTAATATGTTTTTACTTGCAATTATGTTGTACCATAGTTTGTGTCATCTTACAGATGTACAACCATCCATTCACTGGAGAAAAAGGAACATTACAGAATGTACAGGAAAAGTGTAGGTATATGGGAAATGTTCAGTCACCAACAATTATGAAATGCTTGCTGCTGTAAATGTATGTCTGCTTGTCTGTGGACAGAGACATGTCTTGAACCAGTAAAGTAGATTTGTCCAAAACATAGTGAATTTTCATATGGTTATTACAATGGTCAGCCAATCAGATCTCACGGGCTTCAAGTGCAGTTGCATTGGTTTGTCTGTGTGTGGGGGGGGGAATCTGGCTTCCTACCTTGTGGTTCAATTTTAATTGGCTGCAGGTATCAACATTTCCTAACTGTAATCAAAGTTACAATAGCAACTTTTTAGCTCAGCACCTCTCTTTATGGGGTTGAATGATTCAAAACATAAGGGCCTTAAAAACACCTGAGTGGAAAATCTTTACCCAGAAGTCTCTTGTTTATGACTTTAGACACTGCAAGCAGGAATTGGTTCCTATCCTTAGAAGTAAAGCTAAGGAAAACAGGAGCAAGGGTGAGCTTTGGCCCAACTTCACTATAGTCTGAGGAGAAAAAAAATGTTCAAAGCCATCTGTGGAACATCTTTCACTCCGGTGAGGGGACCAGAAGCCAAGAAGGAGAGCAATACCTACCTGTACAATCATGTTTGAGAAACAACTGTTTTAACACTCAGCTTCACAGGTGGCTTCCATACGCAGTAGAGCCAGCATTCCTTGCCAAAGAGCAATGCTCCACTCAAAAGAAGAAGAAAAAGAAGCAATTCTATCCACTCCCTCCCAAAACAGACATGACTGCCACATTTCAGACGTCACAGTGGATGGACAGACGGCTCTCACTAAAGAGACACAGTGAGATGACTTGTAAGGAACTGTCTGAGAGCTGTCAGCTCTTACCCCATGATGCCGAAAAGGGACACAGCAGCTGCCATAGCAATGCTAAGTGAGCTGCTCCTGTTTTCGCAAGAGTGGGAGGCCAAAGTAAGTGGATTATATTCCGCATGTGATGCTAAATAAGTATTATCAAATGGGAATGACACAGGACAAGAAGCAGGCAGGAGGAGGGCAAAAAGCACCAGAAAAGAGCTAAAGCCAGCCATGCCCTTGCTGCCTTGTAGGGCTGGGAACCCTAGATGTGAAATGGACTGGCTACAAGGATTTCAATGTGCCTTAGAACATTAATCACCCTGAAAGAAAAACTGGATTCTACTATTGCTTTATTTCATCACAGTCATGTTGCAGTGAAGATAATCTCAAAATCCATATGTAAAAGATGCAGATTCCAAAAAACTAAAGAACAGGGTTTCATTCAGATTGTTTTCCCTCCCTACTGCAATATCTCTCCTTTAGCAGATCATTAATTCTAAGGAGGTCTGCAGCTGTCTTTGCTTTGCTCTGTTTTGACAGGAGTGTGCAAATAATCTAGACCGGGCATGTGTCAATACACAGCTAATTGCCAGCTAAGTGTAGGAAGACTAGCAAAAAGGGGGTGGGGGACATGGGAATAAAATGACCAGCCCTCCTATGTTTAGATAACAACAAGATGACTCCCATCCATACAACAATTTCCACGACCCATTGCCTATTGACATCTTGAGTACCATAGTTTCTCCATGCTGTTGACTCTACATGTCCTTGAAATGGGTATAAGTGGTACTGCAAACACTTGTTTGACTTTCCAGGGATTGATGCAGATGCTATACCAGTGTTGACCTGGTTGACCAGTTTATCCTGTGCCTGTTTACCCAATCAATGCATTTTTTTAAAAATGCTGGTCTGGTTACAATGCTCATCTTTTCTTGCCTTCCTGCTGTTTCTCAGTAAAAAGTTGCTCGTATTCAGCAGCATAAAAACTCCTCTAATTTCTTTTTAACATTTCCAGCAACTGGAAATTTCCACAAAGACATGCCTCATACTCAATATATACACATAAATATCCTTAGTTTGTGTTAGTCTAGGCTCAAGTATACATTATGTGGAGCGGCTGTCCACTTCCACAGGGCCATGAGGTTGGGAGAAGTCATCAATCTGCATCCATCACCATGCACCTCCAAAAAAATTTTCTTTTCTCTGAGTGACCCCTTGATCACAACTGATCTTTTCCTTTCATCTCTCTCTCTCTCTCTCTTTGTTTGTTTTTGTTGCAAAACTCCAGTTAGTTTATATTCTATTTGGGTGCAAGGGCCCAAAAAGAACTAGGGAGGACTCATTCTCAGTTGGTTCTACCATGCTACACACAAGCACCACCATCTCCAAAAACAGCTACACAGTTCTTTCAGAGAATTGTAAACATCTGATGACGCGGGAGTGACATGATCACGGCACCCTCCTTCTCGGATGCCCATTCATCACGTAACAATCTCTGACAGTTTTAACTGCCTACTCCCACTGGAATCATTTCATTTCACCACCATGAGGGATTTTTCTGCCTATGGACCACAGGATGCTATTTTCCTTGACCTTCCCTTTTCATCCTATCACCTCTCAATGGCTCCAGTCATGTTATCTTTAACTTCCTTTTCCCCCCTCCCCTACAGCATCTCAAAAGAGCTTCTGTCCTTGAACTCTATATTCTCACAGAGGAGTTCGATCCACATAGCAAAGTTCTTCCTCCTTTCAATCCCTAGGTGGCTTTTACAGATTTCACCTTCCTTCCATTCCTCACAATTCTGACTCTCCCACAGAATGCCGTTAATTCATCCTGCTCCTCCACTCCAGATCTGTATTGATCTCTGATGTGCTCTAGCACGAATGGTCTCAAATTTCTAGCAGTAGCCAGTTTGGAGGTGGGGAGGCGGCAGAAGAAGCAACCCACAACCAGCAACCCATAAACAAATCTGAACTCCTTTTTTCACAGTTAAGAAGAGCAAAGCACACATTTTCAAAAGGGGCTCATCTGCAAGTGTAATCCGGTTTCTCCCTGGCAGAGAGCTAAAGTTATACCTTTCCCCCTTAATGCCCTTCAAAGCCATTTCAAACGCTTTTTCCTGAAATTATAGTCAAGGACTAGATCTTTGCACAGATTGAGAGGTTTTCAGGAAACACCCAGCACTTACCTTTTGTGGAATCACATTTATCCTTGCTTTGAGAATACAGTGTCCGGAGGGGATTGAATCCTTCTTGCTATGCCATTCATCCTTTCTTCTTCTTCCTCCTCCTCCTCTTTCTCCTTTTCTTCAGACGAAGATGCACCAATAATAATTTTAGAATCCTCGGTCGATCCAGCTATGCAAAAATGAAGAAAGCTTGGCAGATGGAACGTGATTCAGAGAAGTCCAAATGGCTGAATCCTTGAGACTCCTTACCCAGTAATATCCACAGAAGGGAGAGGAAAGGACAAAAACAGAAGACCCGGGTAAGGGTGTACGTGTGTATTACAATAGAGAAAGGAGATGAACTTATTTTTTCCCTCTCTCTTTCCAAGAGACCCTGTTGTCCAAAGGCTAAGCAGCCTGCTGGCGTTTGCAAGGTCTGTTTTCTAAGGCATCCCGGGGTACCACCTGGATGTGGCTACGGCAAGTCCCCAAGTTCGCAGAACCCGGGTATATGTATGTATGTACGTATGTATGTGTGTGTGTGTGTGAGAGAGAGAGAGAGAGAAAGAGCGACAGAGAGAGACAGAGACAGAGACAGAGACGGGGGGGGGAGCGAAGGGAATACCCGCTCGTCGCGCGCGCACAGGCACACACATGCACATACGCACCGAGAGAGATGGACGGACAGATGGATGGATGGAGAGAAAAGGAGGAGGAGGACGAGAAGGGGGGAAGCCAGCAGATTGGAGTGATATCATAAAGTGCTCTAGATGGCAGAACCTGCACAGTTTGTAAGACAAGAGGGAAGCTGATGAGGGGAGAAGCCTCCGAAAGACACACAGAGAGAGATTTCACCCTCGCTCGGGCATTTCTTGCTACTTCTTCTGATGCCGCTTCACCACAGAGCAAGGGGGCTCTGCGGCAGCCCAAGGAGCCATCGGTCCGCCCCGATCGGGTTTTTCTCCCTCCCCCCGCTCCGACACCCGAGGGTGCGCAAGACTTTGCCAAAGGAAACGCCGCCGGCAACCCCCCCTCCACACACGCACACATACACAAACACGCGCACACACGCGCGCGCACCGCCCGCGTAAAGCGGATTAAAATCCGACCAGGGTGCGGGGAGAGGTTTAGGACGCGGGCTAG